GTTTGTAACATGGAAAGTTTTTCTTTTTCCTTCAGTTATTACAGATGACGTTTTTCAGTACAGAGGTCAAGTTTGTCATTCATTGCCTTTAAAATATAGAGTACGTGCTCCAGGACCTCTGGCTATCAAAGTATTCATGAAAGTCAGCTGTTATTCTGACGTGTTTGACTTTACATTTGACTTGATTAGTTTTTTTCTCATAACTTTCAATACCCTCTCATTGTTCTGCATATTTAGTGTTCTAACTATAATATATTATGGAAAGTTTTTTTCTAATCCTTTCTACAAGTAATATCTGTGCTTCTTGTATTTTTAGATGTTTACCTTTGCTGATTTGGGGGAGTTTTCTTCTATTATCTTGTTGGAGATCTGGTCTGTGCATTGACCTGGGAGTCTTCTCCTTCATCTATGCCTATAAATTGAAGATTTGGTCTTTTACTGGTGCACACACTTCCTACAAGTTCATTCAGTTTTTTGTTTGTTTCCTTGTTTGTTTGTTTTTGTATTAAAAATATTCTTTGTATAAGTACTTTAATTCCCCTTCTTAACTTTGGGTCTTTATATTTTGTCTTCTACTTGATCCATTCTACTTTAAAGCTTTCCTTTGTATTTTCTAATTGAGCTATCAAGATTTTTCATTTTTATATTCATTACAACTTTAGTTCTCTTCAATATTTCTATATCTTTGTTGAATGCCATTTCAACTCCTGAATTGTTGTTTCAGTTAACATTGTATTTGTGTTTTCTTGCAAAATACTTGAGCATTTATTTTGTTTGAGTTCATTCTCTTTACATTCATCAATCTACTTTTTTCTGACTTCTTTAAACTCCTTAATTCTTTGAGGTATATAATTATTCATTAAAATTCTTGGTCCTAGGATTCATCTAGGCAAATATCACTGGGGAACAATTTTGTGAGAATATTGAATTGAGAGGGGTCAAATACTGTCTGGACATGTCATTTCATTATTGCAATGACACCTGGGCATATGAGCTTGTTTCATGGTTCTGTTTCCAATATGGAAATAGCAGATTGGGCTTACACACAGTATGTGCCACCCTGCATCAACCTGGGAATAGAAAGGGTACAGGTGGCCCTCAACAGCTTGGGATGGGGTCAGGTCTGGGGATTGGAGAGGGTTCAGTGGAGGCAGGGTTAGACAAACTCATCAGACTAGACAAAAAAACAGAATGTGTAGGTCAAGATGTGCCTGAAGGATGGAAGTAGTGTAAGCAGCCATGAGTTTGATGAGAGTTGCAAGGATGGCTCTTCTGAGGAAAGAACAATGCACATGTTGTGGTTGGGTTGTTTGTTTGTTTGTTTGTTTGTTTCCTGTTTGGCTCTCAAGTAAATCACACACAGAGGCTTACTCTTTCTTATGAATGCCTGGCTTTACCCTGGCTTGTTTCTTGCTAACTTTTCTTAATTTAAATTATCCCATCTATCTTTTGACTCTGGACTTTTATCTTTTTTATCTTTGTATATCTTTCTTTCTTACCATATTGCTGGCTGTGTAGCTGTGTGGCTTGTCTTTTGAGATTTCCTCCTTCTCTCACTCCTCAGAGGTTTTCTCCTAGATTTCAACTCCTATGTATTCTCTCTTCCTATCAGGCCTGCTTATTGCTTCTCCTGCCTCACTACTGGCCATTGAGCTCTTTATCAAACCAATTAAATGTTTCAGAAAGTCAAATAAACACAGCTTCACAAAGTTAAACAAATGCAGCATAAAAGAATGCTAACATCTTTGGATCATTAAAACAAATGTCCCACAGCACAAACAAATGTAACACAGCTTTAAATAATATTCCATAACAACATGTAGCATATCTGTTTCTCTGTGCTACAAAGCTGGCTAGAGGGTTCCTGGTGGAGAAGGGTCTGTGATCTAGTGAGTCTCAAAGGAAGCAAGAGTTCCTACTAGGAGGAGGTCATGGTCCCTGGGAAGCAACCCAACTGCATGCCTATTAGGTTGGGGAGGTGGTGCTCCATAGAGTACAGGTGAAATATCTATGTCTCCACACCATCAGCATAAGTTAAGTTATTTGTGGGGAGCAAATGTGTCCCATGAAGAGGGAGAGGGTCTAGAAGGAGATAAACATTCCTGGTAAGAGGTTTGGAGTTAGCAGAGTGGAAGGGTGCTGTGCAGGTCTAAAATAACATTTTTATTTATTTGTTTGGAAAGTTTATGCCTTTAAACACAGTAGCTTGATCATATATATTCCCAAATCCCTTCATCTCACTCCTTCAGGGCACACTCCCAACCACTGACCACCATTTTCATACTCTCTCTGTTTGTTTTGTTGTCATTGTTGTCAAATCTGTTTGATTTGTTTGGGTTTTGTTGTTGTATTTAAAATCTCTCAGTCAAATAGGTGCTGCCTCATAGAGTAATGACTGACCTTGTTGGGTTGGTCTTGTGCAAGTTATGCACAAGCACCTATGGCAGTAGTGAGTTCACGAGCACACCAGCCATGTAACATTCAGAAATACACATCTCACAGCACTCCTTCCAGTCCTCCAGCTCTTTCATTCTGTCCATCACCTCTTTTGTGATGTTCCCTGAGCCTTGGTGACTCCACTTAGGTATCCCACTTAGAGCCCAGCACTCAGCAGACGTTTAATCAGCATTTTGGCTTTGAGTCTTTACATTACTTGCTACCCACCGCAAAGAGAAACTTCTCTGTACTAGGTTGACTATAGGAGGAAACCCCTCAGAGCATCACAGCTGACTTGAATTCCAGAATGTTAGCATATTGGCTTTGAACTGCCTTTTGTGACTGTAAACTTCTTAATGGATACCTTCTGTTTGAAGGGTTTGAATCTTATCTGATTTCTTCCTAAAGGGTTCAAAGCCTCTGTAAAATTTGGTTGTGAGGGAGCTTGGAAAACCAAGATGCCATGTGACTGAGTATTGCTTTGATTTGTTTTCTTAAGGGACCTTCAGGTAAGAGGTTTTGATATGTGGAAATTGGCTTGCTAAGGTTCAAATTGTATCATAAATTTAAAAAGATCTTATGCAATGGTAGTCAGTTCACCATAAACTTGATCCCATGCTGCTACTAAAACAAAATTCATCCTGAAGTGAACCTGTTTCTTCCACAGACCTTCACAAGAGCAACAGCAACAAGCTTTGTTGTTTTGGAATCTCTGCATTATTCTGACCAATTACTCTTACATCTTGTGTGCCTCTTTGTATGTATTGCGACAAACATATATGGAGGTTATACTTTATGTACTTGTGTCCACCCTAAATTGATATCTGAAATCTTTCTCAGTTGCTTTCACATATTCACTGAGGCAGGGGCTCTCCTCCATGCCCCAAGTTTGTCAATGAAGCAAATCTAGCCAGACATCTTTTTCTGTGAATCCATTGACTCAACTTTCTGAACCTGTAATAACAGAGGTTACAGTACAAGCGCAACATGTACAGGGGTTCTGGGGACCAAATTCTAGTCCGCATGCTTTGTCTTTGAACTCATTAACTTGCTGCCCCAGATGATTTTAAAGTGTGACAAAACTGAAGAGGACTTAGATGTGTGCAGTGTAACAGATATGTCCCAGCTGGGAGGTCTTGGAGAGAATGGCCTAGGAAGAACTGAGCTTTCCCTTTACACCTGGGGCAAACATGGCCTGAGCCAGGAAGACCTTGGCCACAGATATGAGTGGACAGCCTGCTGCACTCAGGCGATGGTAAAGTCTTCCTACAGAATATAATGGGATAAGATCTATAGATCCTGATTTCAGAGACAAGTCGGCCCAGAAGCCAGTTTCTCAAGGGCTAATTGGGTGAACTGATGCTGCACTCTGTGCTCTCACCAAATTTTCTTCAGAACCTCGGCCAAGGAAGGAAATAAAGATGCCTTGTAGTTTGAAAATCTTGTAGTTACTGAGGGATGAACTTGGATTGTGGTCCATGGGGCATATTCCTGTCTGTCTTGTCTTGAGTTCCTTCCAAAGAAAATGCTGATATGAGATTTGTGGAAAGGTCCGAAACTGGAGAGAAGAATCTCCAGAAACACTGCTTGGAGGAAGGGGGTAGGACAAGATGGGGGGAGCCTGCAAAGTTTGTTGTGTAAATGGTGGAGCTGGTTACTCCAAAAGCAAATGTGTGTCCATTGCCAGAAGAGAAAACAAGAGACTGGGTAACTTTTGTTATTCTTGTTGTTTATTTGTTTGTGTAATTGATTGGCTGACTGTGTGATTGTAGGCCAGGATGCTTCCAATCTCACCATATAAAGATGGTGGCACTGTGCTCCTGATTCTCCTGCCTCTGTCTTCTGAGTGATGAATTAAAGGACTTCTTTCTTTAGAACTTGTATATCTAACTACACTCTGGAGTCTAGAAGTCCAACAGTAGAGACTGTGAGTGCTCTGCTTAAGCAAAAAAAGTATATAAGCAATCAGGTGCCTGCAGGACAGAAAAGGAACCCCTGTCTACAACAACTTGCCTATTCTTAGAAGAAAAGTATTGGTCAGCTATTAAGGGGCCTACCCCCATGACTCCAAACACTTACATTAGACCCTTGTCCCTGTACTACTACACTCACAAGTGAATTTCAATACTAGTTTCAACATAAATTTCAGTGGAAACTAAAAACATTCAAATTGTAATTACAAACAAGGCTTGTTGTTACCAATATCTAAAAGGCAATACAAAATATGCCTGGAGTTGCCAGGCCTAGACACAGGGGACCAAGTCAACATCCTGAAACATAGACTCTAAGACATCCTAAGACCATCCCATCAGACCCAAAATTTCTGTACTTATAGATTGATGATATCAGTACTAAAATGGTAGGAGCCAATGGGATAATATCAGAAACAGACATTGGCTTCACTGTCGGTAATCTCCCCAGTACTCCATGATCTCCTACAAGAGAGACCACAGCCCCCAAATTACTGATGGGAAAACTGAGCTCAGTGGAACTGTTCTGCCGTGCCAGCACTACAACTGTCGTTCTTCTGAGCAAGGGACGTCGGGATTAACACGCAACACAACTTCAGGTTCTGCAGACAAGCCTTTATTCCACTTTCTCATACAGTATATATAGCTCTCATCAGTGGAGGCCCTGTCTTAGGACTCCCCCAGACAGAGACTCTTACCCGTCTACAGGAGGCCTTAATTCCTGTCTTAGGCAAGCTCACTATACCAGGAGAGTTGCCCGTCATTGGGATCCCTCATGACTTCTGCAATATCTGCAACCAGACTTGGGGCACTTCCCAATTTCCGGAAGACAGTCCAAGCAACACTTGTCGGGTGACAGTGTGCTGTACATGGGATTGCCACATAAAGTGACAGAGAATCCAAAAACAGATAACCCCAATAGCAATATGAGTACAAGTGAGCATTCCAGACAATCACTGGACCCAGCCCCCAAGCTGGGCCATGGCATTCTACTGACTGGATCTAGACACAGCAGGGACCCATGTGCTGTCAATACTTACAATATGATAAGCTGTTTGCAGGGTGAAATTCAAAAAGGAATTCCAAGGGCCATCCAAACATGCATTCAACTGTACAACCACATGAGAAGCATTTATAACATTAGCAGGTGTAACGTACAAGACACTTGTTACAGGAGTCAAAGGGAATCTACCTGTTCTTGCAAAAGCACTGTTTTTTGATTTAAATTTAAAAGTCCAAGTCCAATATGAAAATCCAGAGCACTCTGTGTCTGCAGGGACTTGCTAACCCTTCCAGACAGCTGATTCACAGTCTCTATAGTCACAGTTGTCTGTGAAATGGCAACTCCAGCAACTGTAGCCACAGTGGCAGTGACAGCAATAGCAGCAACAATTGCAGCTGTTCGCCTGCTGTCGACAATGGATGATCTCCTGATGTTCTTGAGACAGCAGCACCAGCAGAGGAATCACAGCAGGCACTAGAACGATCAAAGCTCCATCAGAACCATCCCAGCAATTACTCAGTTTGCAGATCCTGGAAGAATAATTAAGAATATCGCCCCCCCCAAAGTGCCATGCCACAATACAAAGAAAAATGGGGCAGGAACGCAAGCAGAGGATCAAACAGTCATATTGCGTCCAGCAGTATAACAAATCAGACTCTTGAGTGATACATTCTCCCCACATAACTGTTGGGTGGAGATTAAAATCTCCATCAGCATCCCAACACCAAGGAGCATAGGTATTATGCAATACTAACTGGCATTAAAAGTGGGGGGTTTCTCATCAGACTCCCCATCACTCATAATTCTGTTGTTGTTACCAGAGTCATCACCTGAAGCAGAAGGAGCATTGTGGTCTTCATCCTGGGTCACTGGCCTTACGCACTGCTCTGGCACCCAAATTGGTTTATCAACTCCTGGAGGAAAAACACATACAGCCCCCCTCACCTTTGCCAACAAGGGGCTTGGTTCCATCCATCTTCCTGTTTGCAAATCTTTCCAATGAACCCAACCTAGGCTCTGAGCCCTAACCTGTGTATGACGCTCCATAGGCGAGCGCCCTTCAGCCTCCACAGTCAAATATTTAAAATAAAGAGAATGGTGGATAATTGAGTAGCTGGGGAGAATATGAACTCCCCCCTTTTAATTTTTTGAAAATATTGCTTGAGGGTCTGATTGGCTCTTCCTGCAATTGCTTGACCCATTGGGTTATATGGAATGCCTGTTTTATGGGAAATTTCATAGAATGAACAAAAGGATAAAAAATTTTTGCTGATATATGTTGGGCCATTATCTTTCTTAATAACCTCAGGTTTGCCCATATAGGCAAAAGCAGATAGGCAGTGTGCAATGGCGTCTTTTGCTCCTTCTCCTGAATGTAAGGATGCGAAAATTACTCCTGAAAAGGTGTCTACTGATACATGAACAAATTTAAGTTACCCTGTGGCAGGCAGGTGTGTAACGTCCATCTGCCATAACTAATTTGGTCGTAACCCTCATGGGTTAACTCCTAAATTGGAATTGCTTAGGAAAGGAGCATACTGAGGACATGAAGATGTAATGTCTTCTGTTACTTCTCGCATGCATCGAGTATGATGCCGAAGGGAGCAAGCGTTAAGGTGAAATTTATCATGTATTTCTTGGGTGTGGTCAGAAGTAAAGCAAACATGTGTATTTTTATCAGCTAAATCATTACTTGCTGACAATGGCCCAGGCAGCCGAGTATGACTGCGGATATGTCCGACAAACAAAGACTCAGTCCATTGCCAAATCAAATGCTGAACGCAGCTGAGCAAATGATGGACCTTAGAGGTAGGTGATATATATGCAGATGTCTCCAATGGCTTAAAAATGTGGGCCATATACACACTATCAATATACAAATTTACAGGTTCTCCAGGGAAGAGCTGGAGTACAGTGAGGCAGGCTGTTACCTCTGCAGCTGATACATCCCCCACCGGACGTTTCCATACTTTTCCTTCAGAGACCACTACTGCATTACCTTTAGGGGAAGCATCTGTAAAGACAGCATGAGCTGAGGGTATGGGAGATTCTCTAATCACTCGGGGGAATATAATGGGATGATTTTTAAACAGGACCATTAATGGATGCTGAGGATAATGAGAATCAAAACTTCTGGAAAAGGAGGTGAGAAAAAGTGTCTACTCATCATGGTACTGCTGTAACTGTACTAGCTGGTCTTTAGTATAAGGTGTTATAATCTTGTCAGGGTACTTCCCAAATGTCTGGGCTGCAACCTTCTTAGCTTTCCAAAGTAATTGTAATAGAGCTTCATAGTATGGGGTGACTACCCTTGCTGGAGAGGCAGGCATGTGTACCCATAAAATAGGTCCATCCTGCCAAAAGACTCCCGTAGGAGCAAAACTGGAAGCAAGAACTACAAAATTTAATGATTGATCATAATTAATCTGCTGGAGATGGACCCTTTCAATGTTGTCCAGAAGAAGCCTTAAGGCCTGCCTGGCCGCAGGCATCAATATTTGGGGAGAGGTTGGATCAGAATCTCCCAAGAGCATACCATACAATGGTCTTAAGTCACCTGTTTTGATTGCTAGGGAGGGGTGTATCCACTGTATGTCTCCCAGTAACTGCTGCCAATCATGTAAGGTTTTAAGATGGGAGGTGTTAATGGTTAATTTTTTTGGTTTAATTCCATCCATGGCCAATTGGTACCCAAGGTAGGAATATGGGGCTTACATTTGGACCTTCTCAGGAGCTATGATCAGCCCTGCCTTCTCTAAATCCTGTTGCATTTGAGTATAAGCCTTGAGCAGTTGATCTTGATCAGGCCCTGCTATTAATAAATCATCCATATAATGAACAATATACAATTGTGGAAACTGACAACGGACAGGCTCCAAAGCAGCAGCAACATAAGTTTGACAAATTGTGGGACTATTTACCATGTCTTGTGGGAGTACGATCCAATGGAATCGCAAAGCTGGTTCCTTAAAATTAACTGAAGGGAGGCTAAAAGCAAAATGACAGCAATCCTGTTTGGCTAGAGGAATAGTGAAAAAACAATCCTTTAAATCCACTATAATTATGTGCCAGCCCCGGGGTATGGCTGAAGGGCAGGGCAATCCCTGCTGAAGAGGACCCATAGGCTGTATCGTTTCATTGACAGCCCTGAGGTCCTGTAATAGTCTCAATTTTCCAGATTTCTTTTTAATGATAAATATGGGTGTATTCCAAGGAGAAGTAGAGGGGACAATGTGCCCAGCCTGCAGCTGATCTTGGACCAAGGCATGAGCAGTTTGCAATTTCTCTTGAGTCAAGGGCCACTGCTCCACCCAAACTGGATCATCAGATTTCCAAGTTATAGGAATTGGGGCAGGCTTGGGAACAGTGACCCTAACTAAAAATGGCCTAGACCGCTTCAGTCTCCCAGCAGTCAGGTAATTTGTTTATCTGGTGTCACTGGCTGCAACTGGCCCTGCAGATTTTTTCCCAGCCCTTGTCCTGGTCTCCATCCCAATTGCTGCATAATTTGGGATGCTGGTGGTGGTGGTGGTGTGGGCTGAGTGGTCAAGACAGCTCCCATCTCACTCAGGACATCTCTTCACCAGAGATTAATAGGTAGTCCTGGGAGGACATATGGCTGAAAGTAATTCTCATGGCTTTCATTATCCTTCCATTTTAATATTTTTGCACTCTTCTTGGGACTTGCTTGACCTATTCCTTGTAGGGTGGCAGTACTACTTTCTAATGGCCACTTCTTAGGCCAGAATTCTAAGGACAAGACGGAGATGTCAGCTCCAGAATCTAAAATCCCATTAAATGACTTCCCATCAATAATCAATTCCAACTGTGGCCTTTCTTTCATATGAGCTACCTAAAAGGCTGCAGTGCCAGATGATCCAAAACCCTTAGCACCCCAAGTGGACCTGGTCATGGGGTTGGAGGTGTTAACTAAGGGTACAAAGACCAATTGGGCAATACGATCCCCCTGAGGAATTACTGTAACTCCTTGAGTAACTGATGTCATAATTTTTATTTCTCCTTGATAATCTGGATCAACAACCCCAGGATGAATTTGAATTCCCCTCAAGATGGTACTGCTTCTTCCTATGATAAGTCCCAAGGTCCCTCTAGGGAGCGGCCCAAAAACGTTGGTGGGTAAAGCTTGAACTCCCATTTGGGCTGTCAAGACTGCTCGGGCGGAGGTACTGAGGTCCAGTTCTGCACTTCCTGGGGTGGCACGGGCAAGGTCCGCAATGCAAAAGGATTGCCCTGTGGAACAAACTGAATATGGCCACTGCCGGGGTGGGACACTCTGACTCCTGGTGTCATTGCTCCATACACTGAGGTTCTGAGGCCCTGGAGTGGGGCCCTCCACCAGTTTCCCTGCTGTTGGTTTTGAATGGGCAGAGGCCTTCCATCTATGTCTGTCTTAGATCTGCAATCATTTGCCCAATGGGCCCCCCTTTTACATTGTGGGCACTTTCCTGGTCTGGCAGTAGTTTCCTGAGTGTGTTGTGGACATTCCTTTTTAAAATGTCCAGGGGTACCACAGTTAAAGCAGGTTTTATCCCCAATTGTCCAGGATCCTCGCCCAGGCCTGATGGCAGGCAATCACCTGGCCCTGAATGAAATGCCCGTCAATATCCCGGCAGATCTGGATGTATTCATTTAAGCGTTTTGCCTTATGTGGCCGCAAGGCTTCCTTACAGTATTTATTTGAATTCTCAAATGCCAACTGCTTAACTATGGGCATAGCTGTGGTCACATCACCAAATAATCTCCCTGCCAACTGCAATATCCTATCCATATAGTCCTGAAATGGTTCTGAAGGCCCTTGTAGAACCTTTGACAGCTGATCCCCCGTGGCCTTGTTTGGCAGGGCTTTCCAAGCTTTGGTAGCCGCAGTTGCCATCTGGAGATATAAGGCAGGATTGAGCACAATTTGATTGGCCAAGTCAGCATAAGCTCCTGCTCCAGTTAGCATGTCTAGATTGCGCTGTGCCTGTCCCGCTTGTGCATTTAACCTAGCCGTTTGTAAACAATTCTCTTGATATTCCCCCCTCCACAATAAGTACTCTCCTCCCAATAGTACCACATGGCATAGCTGCTGCCAGTCACTAGGTGTAAGATTCAATGCCGCAAAAGACTCTACCATGGCAAGAGTAAACGGGGCCTGAGAGCCGTATACCACCACGGCCTCTTTCAATTGCTTCATCTCTTTAAAGCTCAAGGCCACATGTTGTCTCAGCATCTGTCCTGGATTGTTAGGATCAAGTACCTCTATAACTGGGGCAACTGTGTGCCGCGGCCGAAAACAAACACCTCCTCTTCTTCCAGAGCCCTCTTCGGATTGCCTGTCATCTGTCAGTCCGCAACGGGACTCCCTCTTTCTCCAGTCGGCATTAAAAGCAGGTGGGGCTGACGGCACACATAAGGAATCCTTTGCCTTACAGCGCTTCAGCCTTTTCTGAAGTACCTTAATTTCCTGCATTAGCTGTGCTTCCTCATCAGATAAACTATTCTCTGCATTAGAGCTAAGGCTGTTTTTCCCATTTTCTGACTCAGAGGTTATTGCTATCTGATTTTGCGCTCGAAAGCAGGTAGACTTTGGCCCTAGCCTTAGTCCTGCGCCAGATTCCAAAGTTCCCCCTGGTACCTCTGGCATTTCCTTTGGGTTCCAATGCGAATCTGTAGATCCTATGGACCGGCGAGTTTCCTTCTCCTGTATTTCTTCAAGTATCTCTTTAGCAGCTACGACCTCTGGTCTCACTTTCACTTTATCAGTAAGTAGGGCATCACGAACCAGACACCATAGTGAAAAGGTAGATATAGGGATGCTATTGGCACCCTCTTTTTGCAGCCGTTTCTGCAGATCTCTTTTTACCTGTTTCCAATTGGAGATGTTCAAACCTCCACCTGTCAAAATCCATGGGCTTGCTGCGGCTATATTCTTAAGAAAATCCTCTATAGTTCTCTCTTTGACCGCGGTTCCTTGTTTCTCTAATAATTTTACTATCTGATATATCAGGTCTCTCTTACTGCTTGTGGATCCCATTTTAACCCAATCCATCCTTACCGGTCTAGGACAACCCCGTCCGCTACCCCTTCTTTCTGAGATCTCGGGGGAACCTCCACTTATCGCGGCAGCATGGCAACTGTCGTTCTTCTGAGCGAGGGACATCGGGATTAATACGCAACACAACTTCAGGTTCTGCAGACAAGCCTTTATTCCACTTTCTCACACAGTATATATAGCCCTAAGCAGGGGAGACCAAGACAGCAAAAGCAGGAAGCTCATCACCGTAACTCAATGGCTTAGGGGTAAACATCCTTAGAAACATTGCTGAAGACAACAGGTTGTTCCTGTTTTTGTTCCTGTTTTCAACCAAGTGCAATAGTGCAAAGCAGATCAAGTGGGGGTGCGAGGGCCTGTCCTCTAGGGACCCAACACTGTTGAATCATCCCATAGGCAGAATGAGAAAAAAATTGTGTCTGTGAACTCACCCTTTATACTCAGCCCCAAGAACAGGTCTGGCACAGAGTAAGTCATCAATAAATATCTGAAGTATGAATGAACATCATACAGCATTATTATCATTATTACTCAAGGAAAGACTGAGCTATATTCTTCTGCTCTAAAGCTCACATTTTTATCACCCAGGACCCATATCCAATACGTTGTACAGCTTAGAAAGATGCCTAAATTCATCCAGTTGTTGAAGGGTGGAAGGCAGAAAAGAAGGGAAAGAAAGAACAAATCAAAGAATAAACAACTCTAATGTATTCATTTATGCTCCATCTCTCTCTTTCTTATTTAGGAATCATTTCAGAAATACATCAAAGTGGAGAAAGAGAAAATCTTTACCCCACACAGACCTGGAAAACAAATGATGTACCGCAAAATTTTACACAGCTACTACTTCTACAAAAACCTTGCCCAAGAGGTTGGGAGACTTTTGTTGGGAAAACATTGCATAAATATAAAGGAAAAGAGAGAGGACATCTGATTGAGATCCAAGACTTATTTTGCCCAGGCCTGGATACCCAGAAAGAGCCTCAACTTGTTGTATTAGAGGGGGCTGCTGGGACTGGGAAGTCAACACTGGCCAGGCAGGTGAGGAGAGAATGGGAGGATGGACAGCTCTACAGGGATCGCTTCCAGCATGTCTTCTACTTCAGCTGCAGAGAGCTGGCCCAGTGCAAGCAGCTGAGTCTGGCTGACCTCATTGCAAAAGACCAGACTCTGCCTACAGTTCCCATTAGGGAGATCCTGTCTCAACATGAGAAGCTGCTCTTCATCCTGGATGGCATAGATGAGCCAGCATGGGTCTTGGCAGATAAGAATCCCAAGCTCTGCCTTCACTGGAGCCAGACACAACCTGTGCACACACTGCTGGGCAGTTTGCTGGGGGGAACTATCCTGCCTCATGCTTCCTTGCTGCTCACAGCTCGAACCACAGTTCTGAAAAAGCTCATTCCTTCCTTGAGGCAGCCATGTTGGGTGGAAGTCCTGGGTTTCTCTAAGTCTGGATGGAAGAACTACATCTACAAATATTTCACAGAGGAAAGAGAAGCAATGGCAGCTTTTAACTTGGTTAAATCAAACCTGGTGCTCTCAACACTATGTGGGGTGCCCTGGGTGTCCTGGTTGGTTTGCACCTGCCTGAAGCAGCAGATGGATCAGGGAGAAGACCTCTCACTGACCTCACGGACCACCACAGAGCTCTACCTGAAATACCTTTCCCAGGCTCTCTCAGGTCATTCCCTGGGGAACCAGCTCAGAGCACTCTGCTCACTGGCTGCTGAGGGAATCTGCCGAAGAAGGACCCTGTTCAGTGAGAGAGATTTTCAGATCCAAAGATTGGCTGATGATGACATTGCCACTTTCCTGAAGATTGGCATTCTTCAAAGGCAACCCGGATCTCTGAGTTACAGCTTTGCCCCCGTGTATCTCCAGGAGTTCTTTGCTGCAATTTTCTACGTCTTGGAGAATGTGCTAATATATGACCATAGGGATGTCTACATAATTGTGGAAGCACTAAAGAAAGTATATGGAAGACATGATCTGCTTGAGGCACCCACGGTGCGCTTCCTATTTGGTCTTTTAAATGAAAAAGGAAAAAGAGAAATGCAGGAGATCTTTGCCTGCAGTTTGCTTCAGAAGAAAGATTGGTATCTGCCATGGTACATCATACAGGAAGCTGAATACAATAAACAATATCCTCTGGGTTTACTCCATTGTCTGTATGAGATTCAGAATAAGAAGTTCCTGACAGCTATAATGCAGATTTTTCCGAAAAAGAGGACACATTCCCCAGTGGATATGCTACACCCAATGTTCCTGAGAAACATTAACCACCTGGTGGTCCAGACAGATGTGGAGCTCATGGTGTTCACTTTTTGTATTAAGTTCTGCTGCCGTGTGAAGAGGCTTCAGCTGGATGGTGATGGACAGCAGGGACCAACACTGGTGGCTTCCCGGACGGTGCTGTGAGTATCCTGACACAGCCCTCTCTCCAGTTTCCCTGTGGATCCCATGCACACACATGTTCTGAGTACCAGCAGCACTCTTAGCTGGAGCCAGGGCAGCAGGATACAGGTCACCAGTGACATCTAACTGCTGAAACTGACCACCTTTCTCTATTTGACTCTCTGTGCCTTACTTTGTGATTGAACTATGAGCTTTTATCTCTCCCTATGCCTAGATCAGGACCACCCACCTTCTCTGATTCAAATCCTCTTCGCCCTCACAAATGACCCACAGGTACTGGTCCTCTCACTCGTCATGCTTTCTCTCTGAGAGAAACCTCATCCAACTCCTGCAGGCACCATCTTCCCTCCCCATGACAAGCACCTTGGACCTGAGATTTTCTGACAATAGAAGGCATATGCATTAGAGTCCCTACATTTTTCCTGCCCAGATGCCTTCCTTGTATGTGTCAATGAAAGCAACATGAGCCTGACACTCAGCTTGAAGGCTTCCTGACTTCTGTCAATCCCAGCAGCAATGTAGACCTTGTATTCCAGGGTCCCCTATCACTGTGAAGAAGTGGTGACTCAGTATCAGAAGGTCTTTAGTAACCAATGGTATTCACAGCATACAGAGGGGAATCCCACATCAGACATTCATCAATCTGACTATACAGGGCAAGACTAGTTCAGGCACCCTGTCCTCTATTGCTTGGGGTATTAACTGGGTCTTTCTTGTGGATTCCTGGGAATTTTTCTAGTGTCAAGTTACTTGCTAGTACCATAATGGATCCTTCGATCAAAATATCTCTTTCCTTGCTCCCATCTCTGTACTTCCTACATCTCAACTATCCCGTTCTCTCAAGTTCTCCTTCTCTCTCCCCTTCTCTCTTATCTTCCCCTTTCCCCTTCCTTTCTCCCCTCACTCTCATCTTCTCAATTTTGTCAGATCTTGACTGTTTCTCTTTTTCAGGTGAATCTATATATGTTTTTCTTAGGGTTCACCTTGTTACTTGCTTCTCTAGCATCATAAACTGTGACTCAATATCCTTTCCTTTACAGCTAATATTCACTTGTGAGTGAGTACTTACCATGTTCACCTTTCTAGGTCTGGGTTATCTCATTCAGGATGGGTTTTTTGTTGTTGTTGTTGTTGTTGTTGTTTTGTAGTTTTATCCATTTGCATGCAAATTTCGAGAGGTCATTATTTTTGTTGTTTTGGGCTTTTTTATTGATCTTTATTGAGCTCTACATTTTTCTCTGCTCTCTCCTGCTTCTCCCCTTCCCCCTTCAACCCTCCCCTAAGGTCCCCCATGCTCCCAATTTACTCAGGAGATCTTGTCTTTTTCTACTTCTCATGTAGATTAGATCTATGTAAGTCTCTCTTAGTATCCTGATTGTTGTCTAAGTTCTCTGGGATTGTGATTTGTAGGCTGGTTTTCTTTGCTTTATGTTTAAAATCCACCACCTATAAGTGAGTACATGTGATAATTGTCTTTCTGTATCATGGTTACCTCACTCAAAATAATGTTTTTTGGTGCTATCCACTTTCCTGCAAAATTAAAACTGTCATTATTTTTTTCTGCTGTGTAGTACTCCATTGTGTAAATGTACCACATTTTCCTTATCCATTCTTTGGTCAAGGGACATTTAGGATGTTTCAAGGTTCTGGCCATGACAAACAATACTGCTATGAACATAGTTGTGCATGTGTCCTTGTGGCACGATTGAGCATCCTTTGGATATATACCCAAAAGTGTTATTACTGGGTCTTGAGGAAGGTTGTTTCCTAATTTTCTGAGAAATTGCCACACTGACATCCAAAAGGACTATACAAGCTTGCATTCCCACCAGCAATGCAGGAGTGTTTCCTTTACCCAACAAGAGAGGTCGTTATTTTTATGTCTGAATAGCACTCCATGGTGTAAATGTACTACATTTTCTTAATGCATTCTTCGATGGAAGGGCGCATAGGTTTTTTCCAGAATCTGACTATTACAAATAATGCTGCTACTAACATAGTTGAACAGATGTCCTTAGAGTATGATTGAGCAACTTTTGGATATATACCAAAGAGTGGTATTTCTGGGTCCTGAAGTAGGTTGATTGCCAATTTTCTGAGAAACTGCCATACTGATTTCCAACAGTGACTGTACAAGTTTGCACCCTCACCAGTAATGAAGGAGTGTTCCTGTTACTCTACATCCTCTCCAGCATAAGCTATTATTGCTGCTTTTGATTTTGGCCACTTTAACTCGTGTAAGATGATATCTCAGAGTAATTTTGATTTGCATTTCCCTCGTGGCTACAGATGTTGAACATTTCCTTAAGTGTCTTTTGGCCATTTGAGATTCTTCTGCTGAGAATTCTGTTTAGTTTTGTACCCCATTTTTAAATTGGATTATTTCTAATTTTGATGTGTAATTTCTTGAGTTCTTTATATGTTTTAGAAATCAGTCCTCTTTCTAATGTGCTGTTGGTGAAGATCTTTTCCCATTCTATAGTCTGCTGTTTTGTCTTATTGACTGTGCCCTCTGCTTTACAAAAGCTTCTCAGTTTCAGGAGGTCCCATTCATGTATTGTTGCTTTCAATGTCTATGCTACTGCTCTTGTATTTAGGAAATGGTCTCCTGTGTCCATGAATTGAAGGCCACTTTCCACTTTCTCTTCTACCAGGTTCAGTGTGGTTGGATTTATATTGAGGTCTTTAATCCATTTGGATTGAGTTTTGTACATGGAGATAGAAATGGATCTATTTTTGTTCTTCTACATGTTGACATCCAGTTATGCCAGCACCAATTGTTGAAGATGCATTCTTTTTAATATGTATAATTTTAGCTTCTTTGTCAAAAATCAGGTGTTCATCTGTGTGTCACTTAATATCAGAATCTTCAATTTGATTCCATTGGTCAACCTGTCGGTTTTTATTCCAATACCAAGCAGTTTCAGTACTGTAACTCTGTAATAGAGATTGGTATCAGAAATGGTGATGCCTCCAGAAGTTCTTTAATTGTAAATGATTGTTTAGCTATCCTGGGTTTTGTTGTTTTTCCATATGAACTTAATTATTATTCTTGTGAGGTCTGTGAAGAATTGTGTTGAAATATTGATGGGGATTTCATTGAATCTAAATATTGCTTTTGGTGGGATTGTCATTTTTATTGTTTTGGTCCTACATATCCAAGAGCATGGGAGATCTCTTCATTTTCTGCTATCTTCTTCAATTTCGTTCTTCAAAAAATTAATATTCCTGTTGAACAAATCCTTCATATGTTTTTTTTCTTTCAGTTTATTTATATGATGGATTACATTGATAGATTTTCATAAGTTGAACCATCCCTGCATCTCTGGCATGAAGCTAACATGATCATGGTGGATGGCTTTTCGCTGTGTTCTTGAATTCGGGTTGCCAGTATTTTATTGAGTATTTTTGCATCTATGTTCATGAGTAAGACTGGTCTGTAATTCACTTTCTTGGATGAGTCTTTGTGTGGTTTTGGTATCAGAGTAACTGTAGCCTCATAAAAGAAGTTTGGGAATGTTCCTTCTGTTTCTATTCCATGGAACACCTTGAGAAGTATTGGTACTAGCTCCTCTTTGAAGTTCTGGTAGAATTCTGCACTGAAACAACCCAGCCCTGGGCTTTTTGTTTGTTTGTTTGTTTGTTTGTTTGGGAGGCTTTTGATGACAGCTTCTATTTCTGTGCAAATTATAGGTTTATTTAAATTGCTTACCTGATTTTGATTTTATTTTGGTATTTGGTACCTATTCAGAAAATTGTCCATTTCTTTTACATTTTCCAATTTTGTGGAGTACAGGTTTTTTAGTATGACCTAATAATTCTCATGATTTCCACAGTGCCTGTTGTTATGTCCCCTTTTCATTTCTGATCTTGTTAATTTGGATGTTCTCTCTTTGGTTTTTGATTAGTCTGGAAGGGTTTGTCTATCTTGTTGATTTTCTCAAAGAACCAGCTCCTTGTTTCATTGACTCTTTGTATTGTTTTCTTTGTTTCTATTTTATAGATTTTAGCTCTCAGTTTGATTATTTCCTGTCATCTACTCCTCCTGGGTGAGTCTGCTTCTTTTGTTCTAGCACTTTCAGGTATGTTGTTAAGTCATTAGTGTGAGTTTCTCCACTTTCTTTATGTAGGCTATGGATTTGCCTCTTAGCACTCTTTTCATAGTGTCCCATGGTTTGGGGTATGTTGTTCCTTCATTTCATTGAATTCTAGGAAGTCTTTAATTTCTTTCTTTATTTCTCCCTTGACCCAAAGCACTGTTCACTTTCCCTGAGTTTGTAGGCTTTCTGCCATTAGTATTGTTGTTAAATTCTGACTTTAAACCATGGTGATCGAATAAGATACAGGGTGTTACTCCAATTTTTTTGTCTCTGCCTAGGTTTTCTTTGTTACCGAGTAAGAATTTAATTTTAGAGAAGGTTCCTTGGGTTGCTGAGAAGAAAGTATATTCTCATGTGTTTGGGTGGAATGTTTTGTAAATGTCTGTTAAGTCCATTTGGTTCATGGCATATGTCAGTTCTCTTATTTCTCTGTAAAGTTTCTGTCTGGTTGGCCTGTCCATTGAGTAGAGTGGAGTGTTGAAGTCTCCTACTATTAGTGTGTGGGGTTTGATGTGTGATTTATGCTTTAGTAATGTTTCTTTTACATATGTGGGTGCTCTTGTATTTGGGGCATAGATGTTCAGGATTAAAACTGTTTCTTGATGGATTGTTTCTGTTATGAGTATAAAGCATCCTTCATCTCTCCTGATTTATTTTTATTTGAAGACTATTTTGTTAGATATTAGGATAGTTACACCTGCTTGTTTATTAGGTTCATTTGATTGGGAAATCTTTTCCCAACCCTTTACTCTGAGGTAATGTCTGTCTTTGAGATTGAAGTGTGTTTCTTTTATAGAGCAGAAGAATGGATTTTGGTTTTGTATCCATTCTCTTTACCTGTGTTTTTTTATAGGTGAATTGAGTCCATTGATATTAAGAGATATTATTGACCAGTGATTTCAATTTCTGTTAACTTTCAGCGGTAATGTTTGTGTGTTTCACATCTTTGGAGTTTTCTGGTGTGAGGTTATCTGTTTCTTGTGTTTTTGTGTGTGCAGTTAGCTTCCTAGGGTTTTTCTTCTATTACTTTCCATAGGGCAGGATTTGTGGATAGGTATCGTTTAAGTCTAGTTTTCTCATGGAATACCTTGTTTTCTTCATTGATGCTGATTGAAAGCTTTGCTGGTCATAGCATTGTGGGTTTGCATCCAGACATGGAAACTCTAATAAGGAAAACATTTAATATAGAAGACTCACTAACAGTTTCAGAGATTCAGTTCATTATCATCATGGTGGGGATAGAGTGTGTAGGAAGATGTAGTGCTAGCTATATCTTTATATGCTAGCCACAGCAAGTTGACTGACACCTTCAGGGGTATCCTGAGCCAAGGAGACCTCAAAGCCTGCCCCCAAAGTGACACATTTCCTCCAGCAATGTAGCCCACACTCCAACAAAGTCACACCTCCTAATAGTATCACTCCTTTTGAGATTTTTCAGGTCAGTTAAATTCAACTACCACATCCACATAAAGTAAAATATAAATAGCCAGGCAGTGGTGATGCATGCCTTTAATCCCAGCACTTGGATATCAGAGGAAAAGGGATCTCTTGGGAGTTTAAGGTCTACTTGGTCTACAAAGTAAATTCCAGGACAGCTATGACTGCTACACAGAGAAATCCTGTCTCAAAATCAAAATTAATTAATTAATTAGTTAATTAATTAATTAAACGTTTTAAAAAAGATCATCCTTTAAATTTTAGTATTTGGTTTTCTTAACATTCTTTGGTTTTGTAAAAGCAAAAGAAAATATCCTATGCTTTCTTTTTCAGTCAACATTGGCCATCTTTAATCTGTTTCAAGACTTGTGGTTTTACTTTGAGTTTGTTACCTCGTTTAGTTTACAGTGTTAGTGATGAAATGCTACACACAGCAGATCCTTACCTACTCGCAGCCCCTTGCAGTTTGTAAGTTAGTCTGGTTCAAAATTCATGGTTCTCCTGCCTTTGTATGATTAGATACTGACATTAAAGGAATGCCTTACCATTCAGGGTGATATTCTCTCTCTCTCTCTCTCTCTCTCTCTCTCTCTCTCTCTCTCTCTCTGTGTGTGTGTGTGTGTGTGTGTGTGTGTGTCTGTCTGTCTGTCTGTCTGTCTGTCTCTCTATCTCTCTGTCTGTCTCTGTCTCTATCTATCTGTCTGTCAATATGTGTATTTCTCCTCTCCCCCTTCTCTTAGAAAGCATGTGAACCAGCACATCTGTAGAGGTTATGCCCATGCTCAGCCTCCCACCACAGAATCATTCTCAACCACCTCTCCTGAGCTCTCTTCCCACCCCCTTTCCAGTTTTCCTTTATGAGACACAAGAATTCTGCTCCCAGTGAAAGCAAGTACATTCACATAAAAAGGAAGAGGCTGTCGGGATTAACAAGGTCCCCCCAAGTACTCCAGATTGTAAAGAAAAGATACTAGCCACCTGTTCACACCCATGGAGCATCTGTACTTCAGTCTAGAATCAACTCCTAGACTGCCCAGGGTAGTGAAAGAAATCCAGGAGTCAGTGTGCAAATCTTTTCTATCTGAAGCCTTTGGGGAGGAGAGACTCTTATACACTTTCCTGATAGTTTCCTTTCTATATTTTCTTATGGTGTTTTTCTGAAGATGCTCATCTCATGATATTCCATCCTTTTTTTTCTTTACAGCTTAAATAGCTTCAACTTGAAGTTTCTCTCCTGCACAAACTGTTAGGTCTATTATCTCAGGCTTACTATTAACGAGGTCATACCACTTAAATTAAACCATTTCTATCATTCTATATTTTAAAATAAGGCTAGTGGCTTGTTACCTCACATCTTGCTTCTCTGGTGACTTCTGGTGTCTCCCTGACTCCAACCTTTTTCTCTTTATCTACTTGAATTTCGCAGCTAGCTATATTTGCCCTCCCACAGGCCAAAGCAGATTCTCTATTAAACAATGATAATAAAACATATTTATAGTATACAGACATGCAGAGGGGCATCCCACCTCAAACACCCCACAAAATCTTTCAGGCAATACAGGAGTTACATTTGAAGGTCACATACCATTTCTTAAGTAAATGATTAAAATCAGAGTCACCCTGACATCTCACATGCAGTAAATCTAAACAACCTGTCACAGAGCAGGGAAAGAGCACTTTTGCTCACTTAGCTCCCTAATTGGTAGGTTGTAACTTGCGGCTGCAAGGGAAGGATCAATCACATAATTTCCCGTCTTGCGGTATAATATTATGAGGGATTTTAAAGAAATCATGATTCTAAACTGCTGGAAAGCACCCCCCCCCCCCAAAAAAAAACCAAAATTGTGTACTTACAACATATGTGACTGTATTAGCTGCTTCTACCTTCCCTGTATTCTCCCAGGAAGGAAAAAGGCAGTTTACACCAACTCACAACTAAGTAAGCATTTTGAACTGATACTCTGTAATAAGAAATTGTAAATTCTGGATTACTTATGACTCACAGAGTCCAATGTTTCTCTGCATTCTTTGAGTCACTTATAAAGTTTTGTTTGGACTCATTTTACCATAAATCTGTTAATATTAGCTCAATTGACATTCAACAAGGTAATAGTAATCTAAATCCATTTAAAATCTTAAAATGTATTTTCTGTACTGTGTGTGGCATTAAGCCAAGAAAATGGAAACTTGTAACTCTTTCTTGGGACTATAAAGTCAACTTATTTTCTGTATATAAAAAACAGTTAGTTTGCTGAATTTTGAGTCTTCAGGGTACATGTCCATATAAGAAAACTGATGTTAGGAACTTGCGAAGAGAGGTAATCACTGTCCTAGGTTACCAGTCAGACCTAGCAAAAGATACTGCATGCAGCACTTAGGTTGCTCTGCACTTTTAACCTTAGTTCGACAAATAAAAATATGTCCTTGGACAGAAAATTGCCTTTCTTGAAATTGTTTATCTTAAAAACCATTAGCAAAGCACCTGATCTAATCTAAAGCTACTTTGAAGCTATTGCCCATCTGGTCTGGTAGTTGGGGAAAAATTCGGTTATTTTTATAGGCATTGGTTTTGTATCATTTCTACATGCATTTTATTCATTAGAACTCTGTGGAAGCTAACATTATTGATATAAATTAGACAATACAGCTTAAGGAGGAGTATTCTTGACAATCACCAGATAAAAATGCCGAGTAGGTCAAGATGTATTCATGAGATAAACATTCTATGATGCAGGGAAATTTGAGTAGCTCATATGAAGTTACAGATAGTGGCAAAAGATATTCTGGAGTCTGTAGCCTCGGGGCTTGGGTTAATGAGGTTTCCCATCAGAGAATATCTTTCTGGTACGTTGACACCTTAACTATTAACTATCATCTGCTGCTCTTTTGAAAATGACACCGACACATCCAAACTGAGTCAGAAGCAGCCATACAAAATGGGAACACAGAATGCTATGATAAGGGTGTAGATGAGAAACCACCCAGGAAAGGATCTAGATGTTGGAGCAAAGGAGCAGGTAGAAGCTGGTGAATCCTGGGGATGGCATATTGGGGGCTGATGCTCAGGCAGATAGACTCCTTCTGTGCCTTGTGGGTCTGTGCACATCAGACAACGCACACATGAGTCATTTCTCTCATTGCCTCCTCTACCAAATATCTCTCTTTTAGGTCCAGGTGGACTCCGATCACTAATGCCACTTGGCAGGTTCTCTTCTCCAATCTTGAGTTCACAGGAAGTCTGCAGGAACTAGACCTAAGTGGAAATCCACTGAACCACTATGCAGTACGGAGACTCTGTAGGACACTGAGATGCCCTGGATGTCAACTAAGGACAGTGTGGTGAGTCTGATTTGGGTTCTTCCCTGAAGCAGAGATGGATGCAGAGAACAGAGGCAAAAGCTGGGTCTAGGATGAAGTTTCATATTCATTGCAGACTCACCAAAGCCTCTGACCACACCTGTAACCGAGGCCAGAATGTTGTGTTAAAGAAATGAAAACAGATTCTATTCTTAGAGATCATGAAATACTGACATTCATCAAGGACCCCCACTAGCTATTGCTAACGACAGGACCATGAGGGCTCCAGTGAAGCAAGCATCCTGAGGAAGTGGCTGCGGGAGAACTGAGGAGCACAGAGGAGGAGGCTAAATGAAGCAGAGGGAAGAAAGCTCCAGGCCAGGGAATGGCATCCCCACTTCCTCCTGCTCTCTGCACTTGCAACCACGTTCTTCTCTATGGACTCCATCTTTACTAGGATTTCACATGACCAGTGAGATCATGCCCTAGTCTATGGCTGGTGAATGACATATCAGATGGCTCTTGAAATACACCAGTTAGTGTTCCTGGGGCTAGAGGAGCTCTGCCATGGCCAGTCGCAGCAGAGCAGTGGGTCTCAACCTGTGCTCCATGATTCTGCAGCTCTGTCCTGGGAAGCATGGAATTATCTGCCCAGACTAGAAAAGGCACTAGAAAAGCTAAGCACTGCTAACACCGCATGCCAGGGCTCACAAAGGGAGACCATAGTGCAGTTTCCAAGAGCAGTGATCCCTGGAGAAGCTGATGGTGAGCATCTCCCATGCAGGCTTGTCAACTGTGGCCTCACATCCAGCAACTGTGAGGACCTGGCCCCAGTGCTCAGTGCCAGCTCCAGCCTGACTGAGCTAGACCTGCAGCTGAATGACCTGGGAGACCATGGTGTGAGGCAGCTGTGTAAGGGGCTCAGGAATCCTGCCTGCAACCTCAGAATCCTGTGGTAAGTAAGACCCTAGGATGCCATTCTGGACAGGGGGAAAGAAGGGACATGGGGGTGTAAAAATATATGGGATATGGAAAAGAAATGGGGCAGGGAATGCAGAGTCAGCGTGGCTCCTGACCAACTGTGCCACTTATACCTGAGACTTGGGCAAGTCACCGTATTCTGTATAATTCAGTTTTCTCATCTATCAGGTGGAATGTCACACTCACTTCATGGATTCTAATGACATAAAGTGTACATATGTAAAAACAAATACCAGGTAGATAGCTGGACACTGTGTAGTCATATGTATTAGCAAGGCTATTACCTTACCAGACTCTCAGGTTTGCCTTACTCCAGGACAGTGATTCAATCATTTATTCATTCATGAATACATTGGCCGTGCATCCATATCAGGACCCTCTGAGCTAAGCACTTGTCCAGAGCAAACACACATGGCTCTCTCCTGCTAATGCTGTGTGGGAAGAGAAAGATAAAGATCTCCCATCAGCCCATGACACCATTGCCAAACTCTGCTGAACACTATGGAGTCAACAGTATTGTAAGAATGTATTGTTGTAAGAGGGCCTTTACAACAATTTATTTATTATCTATTGGATAGCCCTTGAGTGCTTTCCATAGGCCTGACAAAGAAATAGACTTTGGTTGGGCCAACCTGGAGACAACAGTCTAGGCAAAAGAAGAGTTGGAGAAAGCTCTATAACAAAAAGTGACTGAAGCCCAGGATGGTCATGGGGTTTCACTAGAGGATCTTGACATGGTTCTCTGTCCAGAATGTCTATAGGAATATGGCCATGACCTCCATCTACTAAGAATGCTGATAGCAACTCTGTGACCCATTGTCAATATGAGTCCCCTCATCTACGCCCATGTTCCCTTCCCTGGGAGAGTCTATTTCCAATGACTAACTTGTGGGGTAGGGGTAAGAAGGGGCACCCCCAAATTTCAGCTCTGGAAAGTTCCAAAGTTCCTCATTCTGGCTTCAGATCCCCCTGCACACTGACAAACCCCACTGAGACTGTGTCTTGGACACATCTCTGTCTGCTAAGCCTGCTGTTCTCAATTCTTTGTCTTAGATTTGGATCAAGAATAAACTTAATAAAGCTCCTCACTTGCTCCAACTATAGACAAAAGAGTCTAGGATCCTGGACCCTGAGATCTCATGTTCCTGTTACGGATCCTAGAAAAAATTAGTCTACTCTTATGCTTGTAGGCTGGACCAGGCCCATCTCAGTGACCCAGTGATGAAGGAGCTCAGGGCCCTGGAGGCAGAGAATCCACAGCTGCTCATCTCCAGCACATGGTAAGGGGTGGACACAAAACTCTTACTGGTCAACTCAGCCTCTATGTGGCTGGTCCAGAGCTGAGGTGGGAAAGGTGTTTGCCTGAGTTGATGGCAAAGACAAATAGAGTCAGGCAACCCGGAACCACAGAAACCAATGTGAGGAAGGGATCTGTGTGATGGGGAGGCTTCATTTAGTTTTCAGAAAAAATACAATTATATAACATGCCTACATAAATTCTTTGATCATAAAAAAAGAATGTGAAAGGTGAACTAGAGGTGGGTCCTCTGGGCGCAGCAAGTATGACAATGGTAGGCACCAATAGACCTAAACACTGGAACAAGGAAAGCCAAAACTACATTTTCAAAAGATACAGAAATTCTCAGAGAACAAAAATTCACCATGTGTATCACTGTCCTAATCCTAAACCTCAGACACACATAAACACAGGAGTATATAAATGTCATACATATGCACGCACGCACACACACACACACACACGTGCACGCACGCACACACACGCACACACACACACACACAAACACACATTGCACTATGGGATATAGAACCTCAGGATGGAAAAGTCATTTTCCACCCCCAGGTGCTGAGTTGAAGCCCCATGTTCTCCCTGTTTAGTCAATTTCAGTTCGTGACCAAAATTCCATCTGTCCTCAAGTTCCCAGCTGCCATGTCACACGTGACAAAGGGGGGTCTCCACATAGGATGTGATCTACTTATTGAACAAACATTTGTGCAAGACCTACTGTACATACACTGTTTGGGGATCTGAGGAAACATCAGTGAACAAGGCAGACAGACCAACCATTCATTATCTCAGTCTGGCAGTGAGGGGACACTTGTTCCCCCACAGTACACAGAATTGTTCCTGGGAACCCTATGAGTGCAGTGGTAGTCTGTCTGACTCCATCTGAAACTGAGGTGAGCTGAGGTAAGCTCTGAAAAATGAGAATAATAGGGTAGATAGAAGAAGAAATTTCCAGAAAGAAGTAGAGGATACAGAAGCAGAGAAAGAAGAGTTCCATTGAGGGACAAGAAACCATGTGTAGATATCATCAGCTCTGTCTCACCATCATCTGAGTCCTCTACAGAAATGCAGGTTCTCAGGCCACATTCCATCCCCGCTAACTCAGTATCTCAGATGTGACAGCTTCCTTCAGTGGGCTTTCTGATTTAGCAGGCTGTTCAGTTAACATTTTAACATAGTGATTTGAGAGCCTCTGGTCTAGATTTGATCAGGAAAGGGTGACATAGGAAGGCCTGGAGGGGACAGAGGCCATAGCAAGAACTAAGAACCACCCTAAGAAGCTTCTGCAACTACCCAGAGGAAATGAGAGGCATTTCAGCACCTCGGTCATGAAGAGACATCCTCACCCTTGGTCAGCTACTATGTAGAAAATGAACTAGAAGGGACCAGATCAGAAGCAGAAATACCTGCCAGAGGATGCTGAAGAGGTTAAGATCAATGTTCACACCATCCAGGGGCAAGGGTGGAGTCTGTGAAGGGGGAGAGTAGTGAACAGAAAGTAGAGATATTTAGAAAGTACTGTGTAGGTGCTTAGCATTCAAGGTGGGTGGTTATTAGATTGTTTAGTGCAGTTATAACACAATGTCTGACACTGGGCAATTAACATCAAGAATTGAGATTATTTCTTGCAGTTATGGATACAGGGAAGAACCAGGGCATGGACCCTGCATCTAGAGAATCCTTCTCCCTTTTCCATCTGATTGTGCAGCTGGGAGGTTTGAGAGTAAGAGACCAAAGTGACTTTTGTGACGATTTCTGTCAAGACACAGGAATCTACTCCTGTGATGATGCCATTAACCCCTTCATGACAGCAGAGCACTCGTGACCCCATTGTGTCTTAATCTTCAACCTGTCACACTGTGACATTGGGGTTAACTTTCTAATGAGTAAACACTGGGGAACACACTCAAAGCAAAGGAGGGGTTGAGATGATCCCTGTTCTAGCAGCATGGATGCCTGAGAGGATGGGGACTTCATAGAGTTCTGGCCCAGAGAAGAATCATGGGACCAAGTTCAAATTCAGATGAGTTGAATTTTATATCAGAATATTATGTACACAGCTCTGGTTTTTATGTTTTCTCCTGACATCTGAAAAAAATAACATGTTTGGGCATAGGAAGCCACCTGTGATGGTCCCTACTAAGAACCCAGGTGGAGAAGAAATGAGTGACAACCTGACCTCATTCAAGCAGCAAAGACTACAGTCAGGTACGTGATAGGTTCAGTTCCAGACCATCATGGTTGTCAATGAAAGGGCATCTGTGGGAGGAAGTCATCACTTCTTCATTTATTTATATATCTTTTTTAGAATTTAATGCACAAGTACTATATTTATACCATTGCCAGCCCTCAGTCTGCCAGCTTCAACAACTCCTGTGTCCCACCAACCAACTCTGTCTTGAATTCATGAGCTGTTCTTCAATATTATTGTTAAATACATGTATATTTACATACATGTGTATATATAAATACAACCCGATGAATCCATTTACAGTTGGTCATATATATGCTTCATGTTGACCACTTGGGACTAAGTGCCTATTAGGAATCTCTTCCTGGAGAATACTGATTTTATCTCTCTCCTACTAGTTATTAATTGTTTATAAGTTTTCATTTAGGAGTGGGGCACTATGAAATCTCTCCCATCCACATTTCCTTATCAACTAGTGTTGTCATTGTGAAGATCTTGCAAAGAAAAAGATATTATTGAGATTTCATTGACACAATGTCCCTGTTTTATACAAAAAAAAAATTATCTGCCACAGATGTTCTTGAAGTGGTCATCATTTTTATGCCCCTGTCTCTGACATGGAACAGTACAATAGGCTCTCCAAACAGTGCCACCCATGTAAGGCATTCCGCACCTAGAACTTAGAAGGAATACTGCTTCCTTCTCTCTCTGCCTTGGTGGGGGCCAGCTGATGACCTTTTCTCAAGTCTGTGACTTGCATTCAGCTCTGTACCAGGACTCTCTGTCTCATTCCTGGCTGCTATGGCCTGGGGCTCATCTTCCTATCACTGCTCATCTATATTTTGAGCAACGTTCTTTTATTTTTTTTAACATACCGACTTGAGACACACTAGGAAAATCAATGCATATGGACCAGTAAGAAAGAAAACACTGCAGCTGGCATGGAGGCAGGTATTATGGTGGGATAGTTTCTTAAGGAGTACAGTGGAAAGACAATAAAACAAAATGCTTATATATATAAATTAAAAGTACGCAGGAAGGCTCATGAACAGTGATGAAAACTGTGGGCACACTTCTTACTAAGACCTAGGCTGGAAAACCTGGAAAGTGCTCAGCCATGGTCCAACAATGGGGAAAGCTGTGGAGATGAGACTGGACAACACGGAGTGACCTCTGTCTGGCATCTTCTAGAGAACTGGTGTTCATAATTTGCACCACAGATGACCTTCCATCCACATTCTCCTGCCTCTCCAGAACAAAAACACATGGAAGCACTGAGGACTGAAGATGACTTCTGGGGCCCTACAGGACCTGTGACTACAGAGGTGGTTGACAGAGAAAGGAACCTGTACAGGTGAGTGAGCCCTGCCTGGAAAAGGTGACTTTCCCCAGCACACTCTCCACACATTTTTTTACCTAGTTTCTACTGTGTCCTCTCCTCCCCTCACTAATGCAGGAGGCAGAGCCAGGATGGGAATAAGAAGTTTGAACTGTTGTATAAATGGGTATGTTTTTCATATTTTTTTCTAAATGTGCAAAACGGGAGAGCACAAGAAGTTCCCTGTCCAATTACTCAGCTCCAGCAACCATTTTTCCAAGTTTGTTTCAACTCCTCACATTCCCCCTTTGTCATCACTGTCACAGTAGTGTGAGTCCAGGACACGAGATTTTACCCGCATACATTTTCCTATCCATACACCTTCCTTTTAGTTAAAACAGGATCTCGTCTTCCATAACCAGCACACCATTACCAAATCAACAATACTGGCCAGGTCCTTCATTCCATCTAAACGATCTGTACTCAACTAGGCTCATGATCTGAAATGTGGACTTTCTGCTGGTTGTTTTATTCATGCTGTAAGCAGCATTCCTGCCATGATTCTATTTGGTTTCTCCTGTCCTGTAGATTTCCGTCAAATCCTTGTAGTCTCTGCACTCCTGTTTACTAATAACCACTGTATGCCAAGAACCCACTAGGAGTTGAGAACAAGAGGATGCATACTGCAGCCCTGACCTCTGAGAATTATAGTCTCATGAGTGATGAGTGACTATATCCACAGTCACAGTGTCTGACATAACCTGGATCCTCCACCTACACTGTCACAATCACTGTCTCAGCTGGAGAAACTGTCACTTTAACTTCCTCCCACAGAAGCTGATACCTGTCCACCCACCTGTCACCAGGCAGGAAGCCTGGAGAAAATCTCTGAAGATCTTGGTAAAGCATTGTTTCAGGGTCAAGGATTTATCACTAATAATTGCATATGGACTCTTATTTTAGGGAAATATATTCCTAAGGAATATAAACACTAAAATCTGAAGGAAGGTGTACCTTAGTGGTAGAGCCCTTGCCTAGTGTTCACAAGGTCCTACATTGAGCCCCGGAACTCTTCACACACACACACACACACACACACACACACACACACACACACACACACACCACGTTCATCACCATCATCATTATCACAGGAATAGCTAACAGCTCCTGGTGTGTGTCACCTGTAGGTTTATTCCAGAACACTCAGTAGTCTCAGGTCTAGAAGATGGTGTTGTCATTTACCCCTATGTACTAAGAAGAAACAGATTTGGGTATTCAATGACTTATTTAGTCAGGGATCCACCTACAGACAACAGAGAAGCCAAAACTAAGAGCCATTTGGCTGAAGCCTGTTGTGTTCCCAACCCTATAGCTGCTCTGCATCCAGCAGGTGAACAGAGGTGGTGTTCACTGTGTCTACCTCTCCCTTTTCTAGAGTTGAGTTCCCTGTGGATGGTTTCTACCACTGTGCCAACATAGGACTCTCCTTTGTGGTAACAAGGGCAGTAACCATTGAGATTGGATTCTGTGCCTGGAGTCAACACCTGGATCAGACTACCTTGCAAGACAGTCACATGGTGGCTGGACCTCTGTTTGACATCAAGGCTGAGCAGGGAGCTGTGGCTGCTGTGCACCTCCCTCACTTTGTGAATCTCCAAGGTAACCAAGGGAAGGATAGGGAGTAGGGTGGAGGCCAGGAGGTGATGGTACATGGCTTTGATCCAAGCATTCAGGAGGTAGAAACAGGCAGATCTCTGTGAGGTCAAGGCCAGTTTGGTCTGCAAAGTGAGTTTCAGGACTGCCAGGGATACAGAAAAAAAAAACCTGTCTCAAAACCAAAGGAGTTGGGTTATGGAAATGGAGGAGTTGAGAGGTCATATAGGACAGTGTAGGGTGATGGTGATGAGGAAAGGTCTATGACTTCTTTAGCAAGGCAGAGCAGGTTGTGAAGGTGGACACTAAGATGTTTTGTCATACCTTTTTCTGTGAAGTATTTTCTTTGAAGTACATGTCTCCAAGCCTTATACTTTATTTCTGTGTTAACTAAAGAGACCCTGAGTGGAAAGTGATGTTCACTGTAGCTATATTAACTGGTGGTTAATAAGTGCCCTTTACACTGCATATCTCACAAGAGTCCGGCAGGAAACAGAATAAATTCAACAATGTGAAGAGATTGTTGGAAAGGAAAATAACAAGGATCATTTGATACCCAAAGTCTATCAACACTCCACTACATTGCTTCAGGCAGGGAGAAAATGATTTTTTCAGATTTGATTTGAGAACTGGAGCCACAGAATAATGGTGTCCAAAGGAAAGAGGGGGGACTCATAAATTATCCCAACCTCAGTCATCACCAAAGATTCCTTCAGAAGATATTTTAGTAAATATAAGATTTCATATGAAATATCTCATGATGAAAGCCGTTACTACAGCTCTCTGGAGGCTGAGATAAGAGAATTTGGAATGCAAGGGCAGGTTAGACTATACAGCCAGTCTCTGCTTAAGAAAGGAAAACACAACAACATCAAGGAACTGGGCGTTGTACAAGTGGCTACTGAGGTCAGTTACTTCTTTGGCTACAAATCTACCATAGACACTAGGAGAATCCAGCTCACAACAGAAGAAGATGTTCTTGTTATAAAGGTGATGAGCAGCCACAAGAGGGGAGAGCCTCAGCTAAAGAAGAATTGAAAAGTAAAATAAAAACACAGGCTGCTCCAGCCAATTGGAGAACAATGAATAGAAAACACGTTAAGCATCCCCAGGTTAAAAGATATTCATAGTTCACAGCAAGTCCACAAGAAGAAAAAAAAAAGATAAAGAAATCATTCAGGACTAAGGTGAAAACCTCAAAAACAGATAAAAATAACAGTGACATGCACATACACACAGAAGGTCCTGAGCTCCCGAACCTGACAGGGAGCACTGCTACACAGATGGGGCCTCCTAATGTGTCTGTGGTCAGTCCAGCAGCTCCACACCAAGCTCCTCGTCTCCCCAACACCTGCCCCACTCTCCACTCAAGCTTCTTCCCTAGAGGCCACCATCTTTCCTGTTTCTTACTCCCTCTCTAATACCAGACAATTTCCCCACTGAATACTGTAAGGAAATGATTCTGTTACGGTATATGGAAGCCACATACATGTATGAAGGACAGTCACTGGGCCAGGTGGTAGCACATACCGTTAATATCAGAATTTCCAAGGATAAGGCAGAAGAATTATGACTTATATCCACAAATATTCAGTAAGTCCCTGTATCTAAAACCCAAAATGAGAAAAGAAATGAAATAACTTGGTAAGTTAGCGTCTTGTTTAAAAAAAAAAAAAACTTCTGATATTAGCAAAATTCCAACACCCCACATTACCCTCAAGTCCTCGCAAAGTCCTGATTAGCATTTACTCTATGAAAAGTCCTAAGTTACTAAAATATTTTAAATGCCATATTTTGCAGGTCTCTGAAAAATTTGAAGAATATCTGTTTAACTGAAATATATCTCTATATCTAGAAAACCTATTTAACATGACTACAAGGTTGACTATTATAGATGACTCTCTATTAACCTATTTTTAATTATACATTACATTTTTAAATGAGCTGCACAAACACAATACCTTAATCAAGAGCAGAAATACATATACACGGTATAACAAAATCGACCGAGATCATTACCAATGCAAAGTACTCATCTCTATATCATATCCCCCTTTAAATGTAAACAAACATTTATAAGCAATATTTGTGAATATGGACATAGTTTACAACAACCTAAAGAAGGGAAGTTAGGGGCTGGAGAGATGGCTCAGTGGTTAAGAGCATTGCCTGCTCGTCCAAAGGTCCTAAGTTCAATTCCCGGCAACCACATGGCAACTCACAACCATCTGTAAGAAGGTCTGGTGCCCTCTTCTGGCCTGCAGACATACACACAGACAGAATATTGTATACATAATAAATAAATAAATAAATTTTTTTTAAAAAGAAGGTAAGTTAGAGAGGTACAGCATCTCCTGAAGTTTTGTCAAAATGGCAAAGCACAAAGCGTGAGTAAGTGCCAGACTCTGGTAGTTGGATTGAATATAACTTAGGGACAGCCAGGGTTTCAAGGACCCAAACAGGCACACAGGAGACATTATAGTGCTGGCGGCTCCCTCTGATACTGCTACCTAGCATCACTGATTGAAATTCCAAGCTGCACCACTTCCTGGAGCACCAAGGTCATTGTCTCATTCTTTGCTACTTATTGATTCCAAGCAATCACCCAAGAGAAATAGAAATGTTCTCTGCTAAACAATAAGCATTGAAATTCTGTTTGTCATGGTGAAAGTTGAAGCAAACTGAGTGCTGAAAGGACAGGCAAATGGTGGGTTGCAGAGTGGTGCCTCCAATAGCAGGGGTCACAAAAGTTTACAAGTGACATTCAACATTGGAATTAAACCCAGTGTCAAATTGGCACACAGGCACATAACTTTAAATCCTAACATTCTGTCTCATGCCCCCCAAATTTGGTTGTCTCATAGTACAAAGTACAATCCAATTACAAGGGTCCATGGGTTAAAGAAAAATCCATAAAGACTACTATGTTCCAAAGGACATAGGTAGCTCCACCCCTTCAGTTTTATCACACGAAGCACACATAGCCTCTCCTTAGACCATCTCTCTACTTCTTGCCTAAAACTTTCTTGAGCAGAAATAATATGTGGTTCTGGCTTCTACAACATCCAAGGATTTCCATTTCACCTTAGGCTTCATTTTCAAAGGTCCATAAAATGAGCTCTCAGGATCCTTGGAGGTTCTTTGACTCAGGCACATTGTCTGGCTGCACTGCTATCTGAAGCTGTGTAGCATTGAAGGACACTTAAAAGAAATCCCATATTATCTCAGAATTGAGAATAATAGATGGTTATTTACTTAAGGGTAGACTCAGAAATCAGAATCCTCTGCTGGAATGGAGAACAGGAACCGAATCCTGCATCCAGAAAAGAGACCAGATGCATGTTTTACATCGGCATAAATAGTATAAGAGGCCATGCCCAAGTGGGCGGGTAACATAAAGGGTACTAGCTGTAGGATCCATGGATGAGACCATCAAGAATTTCTACTATACTGTGAACGCTCCCCCAGCAGCAAGACAGGTCAAAGCCAAGGCTGCTCCAATGAGTGATAATCTGCAGGAGTCAGTCCTGGTAGCATATCACAGTCACATCACAGCATGATGAACCAATAGTATGGAAATGTTTAATTAATCTGCTGTATTCTCACTGGAAATTAATTAATAAAACTTAACATTTACTTGTTCATAGCTTTTCTATTAAAAACAAAAAATAAGTAAAAGGTAAAAATGCACCATCATCAAAGCATCATATAGAAAAAAGATTTGGGAATGGTTAGAGATTCAGGGCTAAGAGTCCATGACGATCATGGCAGAGAGCATGACAGCAGCAGGCAGGCATAGCACTGGAGCAGTAGCTGGGAGCTTACATCTTTATTGACAAGGAGGAAAGAGAGAAATGGGAGCTCACCAAGGCCAGCTGGACTGGGAGTGATGGAGCATGTGATCAAACTGGACACTCTGAACGTGGCTGGCAATGAAGGCTGACTGAGAAGCCAAGGACAATGGCACTGGGTTTTTATTCTACTGCATGGACTGACTTTGTGGGAGCCTGGTTTGTTTGGATGCTCACCTTTATAGACCTGTATGGAGGGGGGAGGATCTTGGAGTTCCCACGGGGCAGGGAAACCTGACTGCTCTTAAGACTAGAGAGGGAGCGGGAGGGGGAAGGGGAAAGGAAAAGGGAGGCAGGGAAGAGGTGGAAATTTTTAATAAATAAATTAATTAAAATTAAAAAAGAATAGCTTGTGGTTTTTCCCCACAAGGAAGAACACTAAAATTTTGATAGTTTTCTGTATTCATAACAGACAATATTTGTTGGTCAATAATTTAGTATTGAATTATTTTCTGCATTATTAGCTACTTTCATGTTATTAAATATTTTTAAATAAAGAGCAAGAAAATGTTAAAAAGAAAAAAAGAAAAAAGAAAAAAACCTCAAAACCCATTCCAGTCACACACCTCCTACTCCTTCTTAAGCAGTTCCACCTAATACACCAACCCATTCTTATTGTAAGCACCACTGTCATTCTCAATCTTAGTATTCTCTTTTTCCAGCCACGCATGGTTCAGTGGAGACACTAAATCCACATCATGGAATCTTCATCTTTTCTTTCACAGAGGGACAGGTGGACATCTCCTGGTTCTGTGTGGCCCACTTTCAAGAACATGGGATGGTCCTAGAAGTACCAGCCAGAGTGGAGCAATGCTACATAGTCTTGGAAAACCCAAGCTTCTCCCCAATGGGAGTTCTTCTGAGACTCATGCCAGCTGTCAGACATTTCATCCCAATCACTTCTATCACGTTGATCTACTATTACCTCAATCTCAAGGATGTCACCCTTCATCTCTACCTGATCCCCAATGACTGCACCATTAAGAAGGTAACACTGAGGACCAGAAATGTGGGGCTAGGGTGGACTGACAGAATACTTGAAATATAGCTATCCCTTTGGAGAAATTCTCCTCTTGGAGTGGAGATACAGTTCTATAAGGGGAGCCCTGGTGATTATGAGTCTGCAGTCTTCTTGGCCCCTTCACAACAGAGATTCATAAACTGCCTTTAACACACTATTATCTGTACACATCCTCTTTACAACTATCAGAAGAATGGAAATTCTCCATATCCAACATGTAGCCAACTCCCTTCTTCTCTGTCAGGGACACAGTTCCCACAATGAACCTGACAGAGGCCAATAATTAGCAATCTATTGGCAGAATACAAGTCAGAAGGGTTCCCTGAAGGTGACATCACCCCATCACACAAAAATGTACTGACTGACCAACTTGCCTTATTCAGACCAGTTAGCTATTGTAGTACTGAAATCTAGTTAAATCACTGTCTGCAATGTTCCCTAGGCTATTGATGAAGAAGAAATGAAGTTTCAGTTTGTTCGAATACACAAGCCACCCCCAGTAGACTCTCTTTACATTGGCTCACGGTACATAGTGTCTGCTTCCAAGAACCTGGAAATCATTCCAAAGGTGAGTAGCTTCCAGGTGTTTGCTACTCTACAGGATCAGATGCCAGATTTGGGGCAGGTTACTAGGCTGGACAGAAAACTGAGATTGGGGAGAAATGATTTGGGCTTTGGGATCAGCAAGAAAACTTCCAAGTTAAATGGAGAGCAATTTAAGGGATCACACAGAAGATCTGGAGTAATTAGTTTTAGGATAGCACAGAGAAGGGGCCAGCCTAACAGGCAGCAAGTCCTGGCTTAAGATATGTGAGCAGGAATTTCAGGATGAGCTCTTACTCAGGTTTTGAATCTGAAAGGTCTCCTACAGGTGTAAACACTTGATCCCCAGTAAGAGCTAGTGTTTGGGGAGTTATGGAACAAACATGTGAGGCCAGACAATCACAAGCAGGCCACTAGTGGAAGGCCTTGAGGGTTATAGCCTCAACCTGCTCCTCATCACAGACTTGGATTCCTGATCCTGATATAACAAACTGTGCCACAAGCTCCTGCCACAAAGAACAGAGCCCCAGTTCACATGTGTTCCCCATCATGAAACTAAACAACAACATAAACCCTCCCTTAAGTTGTTTCCTGCCATGTTTTTGTCAGAGTGATGAGAAAAGGAATAGTATGTGGGCTAAGCTGGGCCCATTAGCATTCTCCATACCTTCTGTTGCTACATATTTCTACGTCCCCTTCAACAGTGTTCCAGCCTTCTGAGTAAAGATGTGCATTCAAAAGCTATGGATTAACTCATTGCAAAAGACACTCAACATCTAAGCCAGTGTCTACTGTGGTGTGCAAGAGTAAGAAAGTACAGCGCTGTGGGAAACGCTTGTTCTCTTGAGTAGAGGCTTCTGAAACAGAATCTGTCCTCGCCCCCTTCAGGAACTGGAGCTGTGCTACCGGAGCCCCAGGGAAGCCCAGCTCTTCTCTGAGATCTATGTTGGCCACATAGGTTCAGGGATTAAACTGCAAATCACAGACAAGAAGAATGGAAATCTCAAGTGGGAAGCCTTGCTGAATCCAGGTAAAATTAGTTTAGGTCCAGATACCCCAAAGGCTGAAGAAAGGGACTGAGTGGGGAAGGTGTGTTGTCATTAATTCTTGGTGTCACGTAATAGTCAGATCAGTTATGTGGCTTTTGCTAGATCCCAAACAGGAAGTTAGAGTTAAGAGTGAGAGCAAGGTGGAGAAGAGGAACAGAAAAAGGTGAAGAGAAGGAGAACAGAAGAGGAGCCGGGACAGAGAGGAGAGGAGAGTGAGAGAGAAGGAGAAAGAGGAGGTGGGAAGCCTATTCCAGGACGTGCCTCCAGTGACCCAGTTTCTCCAACTGTGCACTCTCATGGTTTCCAATACCACTCTCAGTGTTCATGCAATTATGAGTGAACTAGTGTATGTGTTCATTCATCACACCACAGTCCTCATGACAGTCACCCCCAATTATTGCTACGGAACCAATCTTTCAACATAGGATCATGGAACATATTACATCCAAACCACCGCATACCCTAAGCCCCATTTCCTCAGTCTAATATCATGATTTCTACTCCCAATGCCCTAGAAATAACAGATTTTGAGATACACAAAGTATCTAATAACAGTTCACATTAAATTTGTGAGCAGTGAAAATGAAGAGATTTTTTTCCATCATGAGAGTCTTAATCTAAAATACACATATATTTTTTAAAACCTTTTGTCTTTTGACAATTTTATACATGCATACAATGCATTCTAGGAATTCCATCCTAAACAAACCTTATCTCCCTCTTGCTCCTGCCAGCCCCTCTTCTTTTCTACAAATCTCCTCCCCACATTCATTATTGCTTGTGTCTGACAGGGTTTAAGTAGGATCCTCTGTGTGCCTGTGAGTTTTGAACTACCCAGTAGAGAAGCAAGTGAGTTCACCAGTGGGTACAGATGGATTGTATACACCCTGTTCTCCCATAATCTATTATTTGTCAATAATAAAGCAGTAAGTAGTACTGTCCCTGTGAGCTGCTTCCCCATATCTAGGGCCCTACTTGTGTAGGTCCAGAGGCAGTAGGTGCAGGTGCTATGAGTTCATGACGGCCATGGTCATGTCATGCTTAGAAGAGGGCACAACCTCTTATCCATATATTCTCCATATGTTCTCCATAGCTTCACAGCCCTTCCCCATATCTTCTGTGACTGCATTCTTTCCCATTTCTCTTCCACAATGTTCCAAGAGCCACAAGGGGGTGATATAATTATCTACTTATAGGGATGAGTTCTCAACCATCTCTTATTCTCAGTATCCTGCACAGCTGTAGGTATCTGCAGTCACCTCCATTCACAGCAAAGAGAGGCTTTTCTGGTGAAGACTGAAAGTAGCCTTTGTCTGTGGGATAAATATTGATATTTACAAGGGAATTGACACTATGTACCTTTGTGTAGGCAGTAATAGTAGTTTTTCCTCAAAGATCTGGGTTTGTTTGTTTGTTTTATCAATTTAAAATGCTAGGGGTGGATTCTATCCTGTGGAGTGGGCCTGAATTTAATCAGGCAGCTACTGGGTGCTCACATCACAGATGTGCCATGATTGCAGCAAGGGATCATCTGACCTGGCAGCATGGCTGCTGATGTCTTTTCTTCCTCAGCAGCCTGCACAATATCATCGAACACTAAAATCTTAGCATCAAAAGGAAGCTTCCAGTTAGGTGGTGGTGGCACACGCCTTTAATCCCAGCACTTGGGAGGCAGAGGCAGGCAGATCTCTGTGAGTTCGAGGCCAGCCTGGTCTACAAGAGCTTTCCAGGTCTAGCTCCAGAGCTATAATATAATATTACCTAAGAAAACAGGAAGTCCATTGTAAGCAACTTTCAAAACTCTACAATTGACAGAAACAACTCACTGACTGGACAGTCACCCAAAGTTCTTCTATTATGTTGGGGAATCCTTCTTCAACCTACACACCCAAAGTATCTGGCAAACTTTGCCATGAAGCAGGAAATTTGAAAGACTGTTTTGCAATTTGTCAGTCACTTTTTTGTGTCCTGCAGAATGTCTAGCAGACTCCTTCATGAAGCAGACACCATGAAGGACTGGCTCACCTTCTTTTGGCAAGTTCAGCAGTCATTTTTCTGTGGGTCCTGCATGTCCAGTTTATACAGCATACCATCAAGTAGTCCGGGCAAGAGCAGTTTCTTCCCCAGATGACTAGCCTTGTCATAGTCAAGGCAAATTCCACAGCGAATTTCTTCAATGCCCATCAACTTCTTTGAAGTTTTCACTGTAGAGAAAATTCTAAGTTCTTAAATTCTTCTAATTGCCACATTCTGTAGGTTTCTGAAGTGTTGGAGATTATCTATCTAACTGAAATATATCTCTCTGCAAACCTAGAAAATCTAACTAACATGACTATAATTTTGATTATTAAATCTAATAATCTGTAATTTTGAATTATACATTATATTTTAAATGAGATGTATGGCATTAAAAAAGAACAGAAATATACATAAAACAATATTGACCTTAAATTTGTAACAGTAATCCAAAGTCTATACTGATAAAACGTATTCATTTCTATATCATATCCCCTACTTTTTTAGAAAGAGATTGACTATGACCATTAGCTACTTATAATCAATCCCCTTTAAATGAAAACAATTATTTTGAGAATTTAGACATTGTTTTCTCTAAACTGCATCTTGCTGTTCGTTGGGTGAGGTATTGGGTGAGTGTTCATGGAGACCTTTTAGGGGCTCTTGTTCCACTGAACCACATTAGCCTAGACGTAATCCACAGGTTCTCATCTTCTGTGAAACAAAAGCAGAACCTCTTTTCCAAAGTTGCATATCTTTAGACTCAAATTTCTCAGTCAAGATACCTTTAAGATATGTGTTGGTTTAGCTTAGCAATCCCAGAATCAAATGTTTTTCAGCAGTTAGTAGAAGGCAAAAAAAAAGAAAGAAGGAAAGAAAAAGAAAAAAAGAAAAAAGAAAACACAATCATGCATATAATCTAATCTCTGTGTGTATTGTCTATCTTTATGTGGCTTAATTTTTCTCTATT